AAGCATTACATAGTATTAACACTCAAGGGGCCTCAAGTTATCAGGGCTCCTTATTTTCACAGATGAGGAACCTGAGGCTCAGCTGTTGATGTGCTGTGTCCTTCCTGTGACATAGTACCGTGGAGGTGGCCTCGTAGCCAAGCACACATAGGTTCACATTACAGCTTCATCACTTACATATTGGGCAACTTTGCAGAGTGACTTGACTTTTTTTTTTTTGAGTTGGAGTCTCACTCTGTCGCCCAGACTGGAGTGCAGTGGCCGCCCACGGCCACCGCAGCCTCAACCTGCTGGGCTCCAGTGATCCTTCCGCCTCAGCCTTCCAAGTAACCGGAATTACAGGCATGCGCTACCACGCCTGGCTGATTTTTTAATTTATCGTAGAGATGAGGTCTCGCTGCCCAGGCAGGTCTCGAACCCGCGGGCTCAGGCAATCCACTCACCTCAGCCTCCCCAAAGGCGGAGGATTACAGGCTGAGCCACCAAGCCTGGCTCAACTTGACTTTTTAATTGTGCTTTTAGTCTTGTAGTCTCTAAAACAGGGATAATTCTACCGCCTTGCAGGATTGTCAGAATTAGAGATAAAAGGCCGGGCACGGTGATTCATGCCTATAATTCCAGCACTTTGGGAGGCCGAGGTGAGAGAGTTGCCTGAGCCCACAGGTTCGAGACCAGCCTGGGCAACTTGGCGAGACCTCATCTCTACAATAAATTAAAAAATTAGCTGGGTGTTGTGGTGCATACCTGTAGTTAGAGCTACTTGGAAGACTGAGGCAGAAGGATCGCCTGCACTCCAGCCTGGGTGATAAAGTAAGACTCCAACTCCAAAAAAAAAGAATTAGAGATAATGTAAGTAGGGTACCTCACTTAAGGGCCTGGAATATGATTGATATTCAAGTAACAGTAGATGTTGTTAATATCTAAGCTAGAACTCTAAAGTCCACCAAAGCAACTTCTTCAGTGGTCTCGGAACCCACTTGTGTTCTGTGGCAAAGCAAAGCCCATAGCCAGCTCTCCTATCAGCTGTTCATCTTTTTCTTCAAAAACACCTGTGGCAGTGACTTTGGCCACGTAGCTGGCTGTGCCCTTCAAAGGCATTCCTTGACACAGATATGTGCATTGGTGATGTTGCTCTCAACCAGGTGTTCTTCCCAGCAGGCTGGTGTGGCTGTCTCCTGCGTGCCTGCACTCGTTTCTCTCTCTGCTTCCTCTGCTAGAACTACTTGCAGCAACAAAAGCAGGATATTGGCAGTGGAAAGGAGGGTGTGTTCTGGTGCTCCCGTGCCCTGCAGCGCACATACCATTGCAAGGGCGTAACAGAACCCAGGCCTGCATTTGGGTACAAATATGTCTACACCAGCTTTTCTCTACTGCAGACAGAAGAAAGAAAGGGCCTGGTGACCATGAGCCATGGAAACCTTGTGCTCCCACCTGGCATACTGAGTCTTGCCACTCTACTATATTCAGTTTGAAAATGTTTGCTAAGAACCTGTTCTGCCAGGTCTTTTGCTAGATGCTGAGCCTACCAAGAGTAAATAGGATTCTGTTTCTGTCTAGTGAAGGAGAAAGATGGTTACCCAGAAGCTTTTAAGTCAGAAAATGGGAAGCAAGAAAAAAGCCGCCTCTACCTCTGCTGAGCACCTCATAGTCATTCAGAACCATATTTAACCCTCACTGCTACCCTAAAAGTAGGTGACAGCATTGCCATTTCACAAATGAGAAGTATAGGGACTGGGCCAAGATCACATAGGTGGTAAATAGTGGTGCTGAGATTTGAACCTTGGATCCTCTGGGGAAAAACATAGATATACACAGAGGTGAGGGGATTCAGATATAGTCTGTCCTTTCATTTCACAGGTGGAGAAACTGAACCTAGAGAGAAAGGGGCTTGTTGAACCCAGGTCTCTGTCCCTGCAATTAAGTGCTCATCCAATATGCATCTTACATTGAGAGGAGTTTGAGTATGTGCCCAGAACAGTGTCTTCCTCTCCACCTCTGCCCTCACTGCACAGGTCTAGACACTTCACATTTGTATTCTTCACGCCATGCCCAGCTCTTAAGACCCTGAAGTCCAGCTTCTGTGGAACAAGTAGGAAAAGCTATAGGATGGAAATAGCCATCAGTATTTGTTGAGTGCCCAAAGGGAATTGAGCACTCCAAGATGATAAAGGAATTCTCAGGGTTCCATTTCAGTAGACCTCCCCAGCCTGACTGCTTTCCACTTCACCTCATTCCTGTCTCCCTTCTTCTACAGTTCTAAGAAATAGTAGAACTCATTGTGGCCTCTCACTCTGCATTGTTAAGTTTTGTTTAGCCTTCCTCTTCTTCAACCCTTTATGCCTAGCCAGTTATTATAATGCACTTACCTTGCAGTAGGCTTTCTCATACATTACCTTATTTAGTCCTTACCTTGGCTGTTTGTAGTATAATGCTATTGGATTTTTGTCAGTGACAGAAAGCTCCTAAGAAAAGTTGTCTGAAGCTACCCAACTAGTGGCAGTAAGTGGCCAATAATGTGAGCTGCCATTGCACTATCATTATCATCTTTAATAGCAGTTCACATTTATTGAGTTCCTACTGTACTATGCCTTTTCTAGAGGCTATCTATACTTTTAATACATACTATTTCATTTAATTTTCATAGTAGTTCATTTTATAGATGAAGAAACTGGGTCAGAGATGTGAAGTATCTTGCCCAAACTGACATAACTAGTAAGTGGTAGGGACACGATGCAAACTAAACAAAGTTTAATCCTTGCTTCAAACCCCTCAGAAGTAAGGATGTGGCCAGTGTGGGTGGTACAAGGCTTTCACAGCAAAAATAAGGAGTCTGTTAACTAGAAGGAAAGTGGTGGCGTGGGCTCAGTAGGCTAGGGAGTGCTTAGCTTTGTGTGTTGGGAAGCTCAGAAGGAAGGAGGAGGTCGCCTGTGCAGATGGGGCCTGAGAACACACCTGACTTGACTGAGAGGTGGAGCTTCACAGCCAGGTGACTGGGGAAGAAGGGAGTTGTAGCTCTAATATTTACATCTTATGCAGTGCTGATGGAGTCTTGAGTTTCTCCCCTAGCATTTTATTTTGAAAATTTTCAAATATGTAGAAAAGTTGAAAAAGTAGTTCAAAGAAATCCACATACCCGTCACCAATATTCATCATTTGTTAACTTTATGCCACTTTCTGGGTGTGTGTGTGTGTGTGTGTGTGTGTGTGTCTGTATCTGTATTTCTATATACTTTTATGTATTTTTGCTGGACTGTTCCAAAGTCAGTTGCAGACATCTTGACTTTTACCCTTAAATGTTTTAATGTGTTTTTTCCAAGAATTCTATATAATCGAAGTATTATTATCACATCTAAGAAAATTAACAGTAATTTCACAAGATAATATAATATATAGTCCAAATCTAAATTTCCTCAATTGTTCTAAAAAATGTCACTCATGGCTGTTTCCTTTTTTAATCCAAAATTGAATCCAAGATTGAGGTATCATTTGGTTTCTCTGTTTCTAGGCTTTTAAAAATCTCTGTGTCTTTTCGTCCTCCCATGACACTAACTTTCTGGAAGAGTCAAGACCAGTTACCTTATAGAATGACCCACATTCTGGTTTTGCCTGGTTGGTTTCTTTTTCTTTTTCTTTTTCCTTTTTTTTTTGAGTTGGAGTCTTACTCTGTCACCCAGACTGAAGTGCAGTAGCCGCTCCTGGCCACCGCAGCCTCGACCTGCTGGGCTCTGGAGATCCTTCCAAGTAACTGGAACTACAGGCGCGCGCTACCACGCCTGGCTAATTTTTGAGTTATTGTAGAGATGAGGTCTCACCAAGTTGCCTGGGTGGATCTCGAACCCGCGGGTTCAGGCAATTCACTCACCTCAGGCTCTCAAAGCGCGGGATTACAGGCTGAGCCACCTAGCCGGCTTTTCTTTATGCTTAACTTTTTTAGGGGAGGGGCAAGAACCATGTGTCAGTTTTGAAGAGTGGAGGTGATTGAGCTTTTTTAATTGTATTGTATTGTATTTTTTGTCATTGAAATATCGGTCTAGGCCAGGCTCGGTGGCTCAGCCTGTAATCCCAGCACTTTGGGAGACTGAGGCTAGCGGATTGCCTAAGACTGCGAGTTTGAGATCAGCCAGGCAACTTGGCGAGACCTTGTCTCTACAATAAATAAAAAATTAGCCGGGAATGATAGCGCATGCATGTAGTTCTGGCTGCTTAGAATACTGAGGTGGAAGGATTGCCGGAGCCCAGCAGGTTGATGCTTGGGTGACCGTGAATGTGCCACTGCACTCCAGCCTGGGCAACAGAGTGAGACTCCAACTCCAAAAAAAAAAAAAAATGTCTAGCTGGGCACAGTAGCTCACGCCTATAATTTCAGCAATTTAGGAGGCAGAAGCGAGAGGATTGCCTGAGCCCAGGGATTCGAGACCAGCTTCGGCAACTTGGCAAGACCTTGTCTCTACAATAAATCAAAAAATTAGCCAGGCATGGTGGCACGTATCTGTAGTTCCAGCTGCTTGGAGGGCTGAGGCGGAAGGATCACCTGAGCACAGCAGGTTGAGGCTGCGGTGGCCATGAGTGTGCCACTGTACTCTAGCCTGGGTTATAGATTGAGATCCCAACTCCAAAAAAAAAATCTGTCTAGATCAGAGGTTCTTGACTGAGACCATAAATAGATTTCGAGGAATCCTTGACACACACACACACACACCTAAATTATATACACATTTTTCTTACATATGTGTTTTTCTGGGGGAGGCTTCTTGGCTCTTATCAAATTCTCAGGGACTCCAAGACCCAAAGAGATTAGGAAACACACTAGTCTGCCCCCTGAGGCGGACAACACAAAGCTGGCTTCTGGGGCCTTGTTCACTCTGAACTGTCTTCCTTTGGGGAAGCTGTATCTTTTCCCCTTCCTGGCTTTAGATCAAAGAGAGGACTATCCATCTTGCAGCCTATGTGGCCTGGTTCCTGGGATCCAGGAGAGTTTCTGTTCTTGTCTTGCCTTTCAGGTGTTCAGAATGCCAGGATTCCCTCACCAACTGGTACTATGAGAAGGATGGGAAGCTCTACTGCCACAAGGACTACTGGGGGAAATTTGGGGAGTTCTGCCATGGGTGCTCCCTGCTAATGACAGGGCCTGTTATGGTGAGTAAGTCCCCTTACATCTGCCCCTCTTAGTTACCAGAGTCCATTGACAGTGCTTCTACTTCCCCATGGCCATTCATCTTTTGGTCTTTCCAATAACCAGGGCATCTCCTTTTATTTATTCAACCAATAGGCATCCGTTGCACCTATTAAGTGACAGGTCAGATTCTTCCCTCAAAGACTTAACAGTCCAATGTTGGGAGTAGGAGGGGAGGCAGGCAAGGAGGAGACAGAATACAGTGGGATAAGTACCTTAAAGGAGAACTGTTACAGGTTGAGAGGAGGCTATGTCTAGGTTGTGTTCAGAGAATTATAAAAGGAGACTGGAATGGGCTGGCAGAGAGCGATTACAAAGGACTTTAAGCATAGTTACAGACTTGCTACCCCTCTGTGTTGGAGGAACTAGGAGCCTTTTTAATAAGAGTGATTACTTCTGGGGACTTGATCTCATGACTGAGACCAAAACAGTTTTTTGCAGTCTTAGAAATAACAGGAAGCACCAATCTGACACTTCATTTTGAAGTGCTAGGGCAGGGAGTAAAAGGCATACAGTAGGAGTTCATTGATTTTGACTGGGGTCTGTAAACCTTGATTGGAGGTTTCTCACACTCTATCCTCATTCCAGCAACAGTGATAACTCACTTCCTCCCTCTGTGCACCCACTCACAGGTGGCTGGGGAGTTCAAGTACCATCCAGAATGCTTTGCCTGTATGAGCTGCAAGGTGATCATTGAAGATGGGGATGCATATGCTCTGGTGCAGCATGCCACCCTCTACTGGTAAGGTGGTGGCCCTGTATCTGTCCTCCCCCACAAAACCGGCCATAAGAAAGAGATAGGTGGCAGGGTGAGCTGGGCAGAAAGACTATTGGGATGGTGATCAGAGCACTGGATTCCTATCACAGCAATGCTCTTAACCAACTCTGTAATCCATAAGCAGAACGATTTACATCTCTCTGCCCTCTGTTCTTACCTACCATAAGAATAACCTCACTCTGCCCTGCAGTCTTCCCAGAGGGAGAATGGCAAGTAAGGTGCTCTCTGAGGAGGATCCCAAATCATTAAAGCCAAAGGCCCCTTAGAGCTTACCCAGCTTACCCTGTCCAACTGTGTTTGTTGGTCAAAGAAGTCAGCCTGGAGCCCAGGGAGTAGAAGGGAATGGGGTAAGGTTCTCACTGTGGGTCAAAGGCAGAGGAAAAACAACCTAGGCCATCTCACCCTCAGGCTAGTATTCTTCCCAGAATACCACTTGCTGCAGATCCAGCTTGCCATCCCTAATTCCAGTGTACCCTGAGGACCAAGATTCCTCATTTTGAGCAGCCAGCTAGAATCAGGGTGATAGTAAGACTATGAGTACTATTGCTTGAAGCCACATGGTACAGTGGTTGCTGGGGGGCTTCTGGGAGGGACTCCGGGATCTCAGCCACCTTTGTGTCCTCTCCCCAGTGGGAAGTGCCACAATGAGGTGGTGTTGGCTCCCATGTTTGAGAGGCTCTCCACAGAGTCTGTTCAGGACCAGCTGCCCTACTCTGTCACGCTCATCTCCATGCCAGCCACCACTGAGGGCAGGAGGGGCTTCTCTGTGTCCGTGGAGAGTGCCTGCTCCAACTACGCCACCACTGTACAAGTAAAAGAGTGAGTATTTTGAGAACCCTGAAGCAAGGGTTCTCAAACAGAGTCCATACATGAGTCTCAAGGGCTCAGAATTCTGAAGTCTTATGCAGAATTCCCATCATCCTCATCTCATATCTTTCTCCTAGAACCCACTATGTTATAACCATACCTGGACCTTGGCACTTACTGTTCTCTTTGCCTAGGCTGTTTCTTACTAGATACTTAAGACTAGAATTGCTCATCTTTCAGGTGTCAGGTTTCAGATCATATTTGCTCTTTGAAGTTATCTGGCTTGATTTTATGTATGTCTGTTTATAATCTGTCCTCCCCGTTAGAATGTAAATTCCAGAAGGAACTTGGTTTGCCTTATTTGGTACTGCATACCAAGGGTCTGGAATAGTACCTGGCATATAGTAGGAGTTCATTGATTATTGTTCTGTTGATTGAATGAATGGAGGAAGGACAAAATGGGGTCCATGGCCCAAAAGAAGTTAAGACCCCATCCTTGATTGAGGCCAGAGACCAGATTAGGAAAGAGTCTGTGTCTGTCTAATATCAGTAATGATGTACCTTTGGCTTCTTACCCTGTAAATATTGATTTTGCACCTACCATGTACTGGACCCTTGAAGTGAGAGGTACTACGTTTGGGGAAATCAGGAGGAGGTGAGGTCTATTCTAAAGCCTCATTAGATGAAGAGGAGAGGAAATTGTGTTTGGGGTAGAGGAAGAAACATTTCTCCAAAGGTGGGAGTCTCTAGTCATGTCTGGTGTTGATTGGGTGGTTGGGAGTAGCCAGAGAAAGGGCTGTGAAGCATGAAGGGCCTGTAATATGAAGATCCAGCCTATCCACTAAGGGGTTTAAGCAGCAAGGTGACATGACCAGGAAGCATTTTAGATGGATCACTGGTGTTGAGGTTGGATGGGAGAAGGGAAAGCCCAGAGGTGTAGAGACCTTTGAGGAAGTTTTGCAGTGATCCAGGAGAAAGAGAGATGTTGGTAACTCTGGTGATGAAGTTTAGGCAGAATTCTTAGAGATGGGAAGGGGATAAGGGAACTCCAGGTAGGGAAGATGATATCCGAGTCTCTGGCATAGGCCACTAGGTGAGTGACAGTTGCCTTCACTGAGATAGGGTATCCCGGGATGTGCGTTGACTTTCTGTGTGAGTGGCCTGGGTCTGATGGGCCAGTTGGGACCTGGGGCCTGGTGAGCCTTCCCCTACACAAGCAAAATTGGTCAAGTAGATTTTTAGGATGCCTTCACCCTGCCTCAACTCTTGTCTGGCCCAGGGTCAACCGGATGCACATCAGTCCCAACAACCGCAATGCCATCCATCCTGGGGACCGCATCTTGGAGATCAATGGAATTCCCGTTCGCACACTCCGAGTGGAGGAGGTAGAGTGTGTGTCTGGTCTGTCTTGTGGGAGTGGGACATGAAACAAATCCTTTGGGAATTCAGGGTATGACCTTTATCTTTTCCCACCCCCAGCCTATCTCTTTGTCTTAGCCTTGAGCCTGTGACCACTGACAACCTCCGGTGTCAGCCTAGCAGGTTTCTAGGGCACCAAGGATGGCCTGACAGATTGGAGAGTTGACAGGATGCCAGGCAAAGGGCACTGTGAAGCTACTGGCAGCTAGAGGCCATCATTAAACAAGTTGAACACTGGCCACACTGTGCCTAGAACATCTGTGTTGTTCATGGGTGACTTGGGATGGGGCAGTTTGTGAGAGCCTTATACTGCTCTTGGCCACAGGTGGAAGATGCAGTTAGCCAGACGAGCCAGACACTTCAGCTATTGATTGAACATGACCCCGTCTCCCAGCGCCTGGACCAGCTGCGGCTGGATACCCGGCTCTCTCCCCACATGCAGAATGCCGGACACTCCCATGCCCTCAGCACTCTGGACGCCAAGGAGAATCTGGAGGGGACACTAAGGAGACGCTCCCTGAGGTGCCATCTCCCACCCTGGCTCTTTTCTGTTCCATGTCTGTCTCTCAGATAAGGCTGAACTGTCTTTCAGAGGCCAGCAGTTAGGAAAGGCAAGCTGGCCAGGAACAGTCTATAAGGATTGTGCTGACCCAGCTGCCCTCGTGGGGATCACAGTTCATAACTAGAGCCTGTGCAGACCCAGCTGTCTGCCAGGTTTCCTTAGAAACCAGAGATTTAGGCTCTGTCCACTGAACTCCAAAGCTGGACAGGAGGCAGTGATGCTGGTCCCTGAAGGGCATCATGGCCTGTGGAGGAAGTGTGGGACTTAGAGCTTAGAGTAGGGGCACAGATAGGATTGAATAAGTATGTGTAAGGACTTTGAAAACAATAAAGCAAGAGATGAGCAACAGTTGTTTTAAACTTGAGGGACCAGCAATCCTAAACCTCAGACTCTGCCATGTCCATGAAGAAGGAGTAGTTGCCTTGAGTGCAAGCCTCAAGTAGGAATACTTACAGAACAGGAGCCAAGAGCACTGACTCTCAGGCAGAGATAGCCATACCATGTCAGGGCTGCAAGCTGAGATACCTCCCTTCACAAATAATCTCTCTGAGCCTCTCTTTCTGTACCTGTGAAGTGGGGTTCCAAGGTAAAGGTGGCTGTCTCACCAATTATGTAAGAATTAAAGGTGGAAAAGTACACAGAGTTTAGTGCAAGCATAGGTTCAGTGCTCAGTAAACGTGAGGTGTTCTTAGATCACCAGGAATCAGGTTCTTTATCCAACTCCTGACCAGACAGTGCTTGCATGTGTTAGAAACAGGACCTTCCACACGGGTTGCGTCCATCACTCCTGGCTGCCTCTTGGACTTGGTTGGCATGATTGAGTTAGGGAAAGCAGGGTGTCAGAGGGTAAAGAAGGGCTGGAAATGCATGCCCTGGAAGAGGGAAGATGGAAAAGGGGTGGCCAGAGAGGTTCAGGTATCTGCAGGGCCATCATGCAGAAGACGGGGTGACCAACATTGTGTGCTCTTTTGGGCACATAGTCAGCAAGAGGCAAAGCAAAAGAGCAAGGGCAAGCAAACCTACGGGACAGGACAAGCCAAGAGCCATCCAGCTTCAGTTCTCTCTGAGTAGCCCCAACTAAAACAAGAGCATACCATGGAGAAAAGTTTGTGGGGTTGCAGTCTACCTCCAGTGCTGTGAACACCAACCTTCTTGTGCCTTTTTCAGTAAGTCAAAGTAGTGGTCATTAACCATTACTATTATCAGCTGCCTTTGGAAATATAAACATAGTGACTTTATTGCTATAAAAATCATATGTGCTTATTTTCTTAAAATTCAGGAAATAGGGACAGTACAAAGATGTGCAAAATATTGTCCAAAATCCTATTTGCTCATTTTTTTGGATGCTGTCACCTTTAAGTTAGTACCTTAAATCAAGCAGATATGGGAGGTGGTATATTACCATTGACAGTATTATATACTGAGCATTATAGGCTAGTAGAATCTAGTTGATTGCTCCAGGTGGGAAGTACTCAGAGTATCCATTTTGAATGTGTTTTTACTGTGTTTAAGTAAACTACTGATGTCTGTAGCCCAAAGACAGTACATCTGTCTGATATAAGAGCCCCTATACCTCAATAATAGCATTCGAACTACAGATATTGGAATGGATGGGTGCCTCTGAGGTTCCTGCCTCTGGGGTTTCTTAGCCTGTCTCAGGACTGCCTATTCCTACCGCCATTTTTCCTCACTGTCAGACGCAGTAACAGCATCTCCAAGTCTCCTGGCCCCAGCTCACCCAAGGAGCCCCTGCTGCTCAGCCGTGACATCAGCCGCTCGGAATCCCTTCGATGTTCCAGCAGCTACTCCCAGCAGATCTTCCGTCCCTGTGACCTGATCCATGGAGAAGTCCTGGGAAAGGGCTTCTTTGGGCAGGCTATCAAGGTGAGCACAGGCAGCAGCTGCTTTACTCTTTTGTCCCTACGCCCTCTCTCACCTTCTTTCAAGGAATTCTTATGGCCCCAACCCACACCGTGCAGGACTCCAGGCCTCCTTCCTGGCTATGGGTGATGGTGTGAGGGGTGCCCTCCACCCCCTAACCAGGCCACCTAAGGACAGTAGTGCTGTTACAGTGAGCTTATGGACCTGGAGACCCAGGTTGGGGTGAGATATGGCCCACCTGACTGCTTCCAGTCACTAGGTGTTGGTTAGATGCCCACAGGCCTCAGTGCTGGACACACTGTGAGGAGCACAATGGGAAATGGCTCCTGCCCCCTGGTGAGCAGTCTCAGGAACTAACTTCTCTCTCTTTCTCTCCTCCTCCTCTGCTGAGAGCTGGGAGGGGGGGTCAGGTAAGCCGTGTGTCTGAGCTTGCAGGGCAGTAGAACTGGAGAGCTCACCCCCAACCCACTCAGCTCTCTGGTGCATGTCTGTGGCACTGACCCTCCTTCCCCTAGACTTCTGTTCACCCAAGGGACTCACTCCTGTGCCAAATGACCAGAGCCCCTGCTTGGCTTGGCAGCGTCCCCTTCTGACTCCTTCCCCACTTCCCTTTTCTGGATTCACATCTCTCCTTTGTGCATGCCCAGCTCTTCAGGGAACAGGGTATGCTTCCCTCTGAGTACCCTGTTGCCCTATGCTGTGTCTTCCACACATGAATTCAATGTGTCCTCCAAGAGAAGGGATGGACAGTTGCATAGAATTTCACAAACAGTTCTCTAGAACTGTCTCTGGTCTCAACACCATTAACAGTCACCTTTCCTGTAGGTGACACACAAAGCCACAGGCAAAGTGATGGTCATGAAGGAGTTAATTCGATGTGATGAGGAGACCCAGAAGACTTTTCTGACTGAGGTAAGAAGATGGGGCGGGGTGCCGTTTGGTGTCACCATTGGAATACGTTTTAAAGAGGAAACATAGTCTTTTTTTTTTTTTTTTTTGAGTTGGAGTCTCACTCTGTCACCCAGACTGGAGTTCTGTGGCTGCTCCCAGCCACCGCAGCCTCAACCTGCTGGGCTCCGGAGATCCTTCTGCCTCAGCCTTCCGAGTAGCTGGAATTATAGGCGCATGCTACTACGCCCGGCTCATTTTGATTTATTGTAGAGATGAGGTCTTGCCAAGTTGCCCAGGCGGGTCTCGACCTGCAGGCTCAGGCAATCCACTCACCTCAGCCTCCCAAAGGCACGGGATTACAGGCTGAGCCACCGAGCCCGGCTGAAACATTGTCTTAATGACTAAGCAAAAAAGAATGCTAGAGGAACATCCCTACCTCCTCTAATTACAGCATCATTATTTCTTTTTTTTTTTTTTTGAGTTGGAGTCTCACTCTGTCGCCCAGACTGGAGTGCAGTGGCCGCTCCCAGCCACCGCAGCCTCGACCTGCTGGGCTCCGGCGATCCTTCCGCCTCAGCCTTCTGAGTAGCTGGAATTACAGGCATGCGCTACCACACCAAGCTGGTTTTTTGATTATTGTAGAGATGAGGTCTTGCCAAGTTGCCCAGGCGGGTCTCAAACCCGCGGGCTTCAGGCAATCCACTCACCTCAGCCTCCCAAAGGCGTGGGATTACAGACTGAGCCACTGAGCCAGGCTTAGCATCATTATTTCTTCTAGGAACACTTACTAAAAACTAGGTACAAGGGCTACAGTAACAAAAGATACGTGCTTCAGAGAAGTCCTTAGATTTACGGGAATGGCAGACTTGAAAACAGACCATTTTAGTACAATTTGATGTTATAATCACCACCTGAACACCCTGCTGAGTGAGCATGGAGTGGGGGCTCCTAGAGCACTGACACCCCTTGAGTATTTACAGTTTTCACTGCTATGGAGCAACTCCAGTTAGTATCCCTGTGGTCCAGGTGCTACCCTCCAGGCTTCTTGAGCCTCCCACTCCATGCCCATAGTATAGTTTCTAGAAAGGTAAGATTCCTAAGGGAGGCCTGTGAGACCCATCCCCATCCATGTGGTGGTGGCCTTCCTTCATCCTGATTTTAGTGCCCAGCCATATCACACAAGATAGGAAGTAGGAGATGCAGGTAACACTTCTTAAGCTGACACTCTGGAGGGAAAGGTTGAAGAAGACATAGTGGGAAGTTAACCACCCACTTTCCTTGGCTTCCCTGACCCCAGGTGAAAGTGATGCGCAGTCTGGACCACCCCAATGTGCTCAAGTTCATTGGTGTGCTGTACAAGGACAAGAAGCTGAACCTGCTGACAGAGTACATTGAAGGTGGCACGCTGAAGGACTTTGTGCGCAGTGTGGTGAGCACGCCACCTTATAGTCTCCATGAGTCTTGGTGGGTTGTCAGTGGGGTACCCATGCCACCACTACCCTGGAACCTTGAAGGCCAGAGAGATTCTACTATGCCGTTAAAGGACCATGCTGGGTGGGGCTAGGAAGACAGGGAGACTTTACTGGCAGACCATGCTGATCCATGGAGCCTGGACCACTGGTGGTACAGTAAAGCCTCCCTATCTGCCAGTAAAGGGCCCAACTGCCAGTCAGGGCCCAATGCCTCTGACTTACATTTCCCCATCCCACAGGACCCATTCCCCTGGCAACAGAAGGTCAGATTTGCTAAAGGCATCGCCTCCGGAATGGTGAGTCCCACCAGCAACCCAGTTAGCAGGGCAAGAGCAGGAAGAGATGCGAGGATTGGTGGCTCCTCCAGCCTCAAGGAGTCAGAGACCTCTTCCTAGGCAACTTGTGTGGGCAGGGTCATTTAGTAGCTGTTTATTGAATTCTGTCTGTGCCAGTGAAGTTTTTCCCAGCTGACTGTTCTCTGTTCACAACCCTGTTCTCAAAGAATTCCAAATCTCTAAGGGCAAACAGAATATGAACAAGGCAAACTGTAGCATATGGGGGCCTGGCCTTGCTGTCACAGAGGCATCCAGGTGCTAAGGGCCTTTGAGGCAAGCAGAGCACCTTACTGCTTAGGCAGTCAGAGAAGGGGAAATGAGTTCTAGTTGAGCCCTGAAGGATGGGTCAGAAGTGGATAAAGTTCCTATTGGCAGAGGGGCCCCAAGGTTGAAGTGGTGACAGCAACAAAGACCTGGGAGGAAAGAGAAGGAATCAGTCTATTTTACCTGAGAACAAACAATTCCAATCATTGCAATTACAGCTGACAAGTACTGAGTACTTTATATATGCTAGGCACTGAGCAGCAGGATTAACATGCATGAGCATGTTTATGCCTCTTGACAGACCCTGATTTCCAGGCAAGGAGCTGAGGCTGGAAAGGGACAGAGCTGGATTGTGGGCTAGTCAGTCTGACTGCTAAGCCTGAGATTTTATTTATTTATTTATTTAAAAAAAAATTTTTTTTTTTTTTTTTTTGAGTTGG